GGAAGAGACCTCATGGGCCATCCAGTCCAACCCCCTGCCAAGAAGCAGGAATATTGCATTCAAATCACCCCTGACAGATGGCCATCCAGCCTCTGTTTAAAAGCTTCCAAAGAAGGAGCCTCCACCACACTCCAGGGCAGAGAGTTCCAATGCTGAACGGCTCTCACAGTCAGGAAGTTCTTCCTCATGTTCAGATGGAATCTCCTCTCTTGTAGTTTGAAGCCATTGTTCCGCGTCCTAGTCTCCAGGGAAGCAGAAAACAAGCTTGCTCCCTCCTCCCTGTGGCTTCCTCTCACATATTTATACATGGCTATCATATCTCCTCTCAGCCTTCTCTTCTTCAGGCTAAACATGCCCAGCTCCTTAAGCCGCTCCTCATAGGGCTTGTTCTACAGACCCTTGATCATTTTAGTCGCCCTCCTCTGGACACATTCCAGCTTGTCAATATATCTCTTGAATTGTGGTGCCCAGAATTGGACACAATATTCCAGATGTGGTCTAACCAAAGCAGAATAGAGGGGTAGCATTACTTCCTTAGATCTAGACACTACGCTCCTATTGATGCAGGCCAAAATCCCATTGGCTTTTTTTGCCGCCACATCACATTGTTGGCTCATGTTTAACTTGTTGTCCACGAGGACTCCAAGATCTTTTACACACGTACTGCTCTCGAGCCAGGCGTCCCCCATTCTGTATCTTTGCATTTTGTTTTTCCTGCCAAAGTGGAGTATCTTGCATTTGTCACTGTTGAACTTCATTTTGTTAGTTTTGGCCCATCTCTCTAATCTGTCAAGATCGTTTTGAATCCTGCTCCTTTCCTCTGGAGTATTGGCTATTTGGTGTCATCGGCAAACTTGATAATCATGCCTTCTAGCCCTTTGTCTAAGTCATTAATCAAGATGTTGAACGGGACCAGGCCCAGGACCGGAACCCTGCGGCACTCCACTCGTCACTTCTTTCCAGGATGAAGAGGAAGCATTGATTAGCACCCTGTGGGTTCGTCCATTTAACCAATTACAGATCCACCTCACCGTAGTTTTGCCTAGCCCACATTGGACTAGTTTCCTTGCCAGAAGGTCATGGGGGACCTTGTCGAAGGCCTTACTGAAATCCAGGTACACTACATCCACGGCATTCCCCGCATCTACCCAGCTTGTAACTCTATCGAAAAAGAGATCAGATTAGTCTGGCATGACTTGTTTTTGATAAATCCATGTTGACTATTAGCGATGACTGCATTTGTTTCTAAGTGTTTAAGGGAGAATAAGGGAGACAAGTGAATAAGGGAGACAAGATCAGAAATAAGAGAGGACTGGACATGGGCTTGTGCAAAAAGCAAATAATAGGGCCAGGGCCGGGGTAAAATGCTGAGTTCACTTTAGCGGTCAATTTGGGCTGAGCATTCATGGACAAGGTCATAACCATTATCAAACTGGATTATATGGCAGTTTAGATGGGGCCAAAAATTCCACCTTAGCTATCATGGTTCTATCCTTTGAGCCCTGGCATTTGCATTTGAAGGACATGCCTTTGGAATATTTTTTATAAAAGCAAATTTCAAGATAGCAAGAAGAAATTTGCATGCATACATTTTTGTGCATTTGATTTATTCATACATCCTCTGAAGTCCTTAGAGCCAGTGTACCACTATGAGCCATAAAAAAAACCATCTACAGAGAAATAAGGTTTGTTAGCTAAAGACCCTTTAACTGTGTGGAAGGCATAACTTTCTTGGTCCAGAAGTCTGTGATATACAGATGCAGCAGTCTGTATCTGCTGAATTTTAGGGGACTGGACACCAGATGATGAATTGGTAACAGAAACTATAAAGGCATTGAGAAATTATTGCAGCCTGCATCAAGCACTACCCACTTCATAGATCTTCGAGATATTCAAAATACAAGCTCATAGCACTTCTCTCTCTAACCTATTTCCAGACTAAGCTGGAAAGTTCTGCTCACAAATTCTGCATTTTGGTATTGATTCCACCTCTCCTATGAAGCAATTCCTCTGTGGATAAATTTTTATCTGAGTGTGCAGGAGCCCTGCAGTGAAAGGTGCCAGGTATTTTATTTGCAAGGATACTCTAAACAGCACCTTTCTTGGCTCATGGAAACTTATGATTTTGTGCATGATCTCATGAAGGTCAAGGCCTAAGGCCTCGTTTTGTCCATAATATGGGTTATCAGTGAGATTTCAGCACTAAAACTCACCAAGAATGAAATCTTCTCAGTGAGCTTTTAAGAAATCCTTAATATATGTTAATTTATAAAATGTGTGGTACCCTGTAATAGCTGAACCTAAAGCTATCCTTATTCTCTGCTCATAGACAAAGTCAGTGGTTCTTTAAAAATTATGTTTTGCAATTGGGCGCACCCTTTATAGTGGTTATTCCACTTTAAGAGCTTGGCAGAATTTATAGACTAATTTCCCAAGTCAATAAAATCATTGAATGTTACAATGATTATTAGCAGTCTCATTAAAATGCAGTGTAGCTACAAACTAAGATATGTAACACCACAGTGACATCATCAAAGCAACTCAAATCCAGATAAAGCCAGGTTTCTAATTTGACTTCTGTGCTTTGAAATAAATCTTCTAAGCTTCAATTATTTTATCTGTTTTAAAGCAATTACAACCAGCTTCCATCATTTTCCTTTCACACTTTTAAATTGAGTTATTAGTTCTTCATTAAATGTTAGGATAAGGATTTTTACTGACTAACTCCTCCTTCGAGTTCCCCCAATTTGTTCATATATATATTCCATAGATGCAAAATGGTCTATAAAAGCAGAATTTCCATTCTCTCTTTAACATGTTATTAAAGTGGTGTGTAATCAAGCACAGCAGTTGGGAGACAGATTAACAGGTTGTTAATTCCTACTGGTCATTACTACATGCAAGTTTAATCTGGAGAGTTCATTTAAATTTTGGCTACGTGCTGTTATCTTGGGCTTTAAAAAGGGAAGCAAGAGTAGAACTTTATACATCAGTTTCTGATTTCCCTTGAACTTCCAGGCAATATATAACTTGTACCCATTATTTTCCTATCAGTGTATTCAGAACTTTCTTCTCCTTCCAGTAGCTTCTTCTTAAAATCATTTGAGGCACATACATTCCTAAAAATCAGGGACACTTGTGGTAAATATGGACAGGAATAACACTTATACTACAGTACAACCTACAGTTTCATGGGGGGAACATTTTCAGACTTTGCATGGATTAATAATATTATGGATAATATAAAACTTTGTGGAAATGAAGGACTTCCAGCCCAAGAATACCACAGAGTTATGCAGCTGGAATTAAAAATTCCTAGAGATGCCATATTTTGTTGTAATTAGGTAAATGAAACCACGAGTCTTGCTACCTCATCAGACAGGCTTTGTTCCCTGTTGAATGCTGCTTGATCTCCCCTTTCCCAATGGAGTCTATTACACAATTTATACATACTTCCAGCTGGGCTCTGTGAGGAAAGGGGAAAGCAAGCACTGCATGCTGATGTGGCCTTTGTGATGAGGTCCTCAGTCACATGAATATGGGGGTGACCTAGAAACACAAACATAGCATCTGGGGTAGTTAGTGGAAGCTATACCTGCTATGCTCAGAAACAGGCTTAACTTAGGACCTCATCACAAAGTTCCATGGATTCGCCACACATCATGATGAATCCATTTGGTCCTGGAAGGGGGAGCCATTGAGAACCTGTAAATCCATGCTCCTTGTTGCATGACTTACCTGGCACCTCATCAATGTGGGAAAGCATCACCACCCAGCTTCCCACATTGTCCTGAATGGAACACGGGGAGCCTACTGCTTTCTCTCCCCTTACCCAATGGAGACTGACCAGAAGTATGCATGCATAATGTAATGGGAAAAGAAGAGCAAGTAGCGTACGATGGGTAAGGAGCTTGCCTGATGAGTTAGCAGCATCCCTAACTGTGATGTGAAGGAAGCTATGCAATATGATGTTTTCAAGCATGGAGAGGCACTGAGCTCATCACATGAGCTAAACTACTTCTGTCTGCTTTGCATAGCCCTCCATAGTTGAAAGGAGGCAGAAGTCTGAAGGGGGGGGGACTCCGGAAATCTGACCCCATCACAATGAGAAATTTCCCCCTTGTAGTACACTTCAGCCTCGTTTCAAGTATGGAGAGGCATGCACTTCATCACATGTTCCAGGGTTGAAAAGAGGAAGAAATGTCCTGAGAGGAGGGAACTCCGAACACAGGCCAGCAATAACATTCAGAGTTTCTACCTCTTATTGCACTTTACTCCCATGTTTACCACTGAAAAACATGTGGCATGAGAACTATCAAATGTTTCCTGTCCTATTTCTTTGCCCAACCATGAACAGTTTCTTGTATCCTATGGGGTTTGGGGCAGGATCCCATGGGAAAAAGTGGTTTTAAACTGGTGTCAGCCTCCTTTAATGTAAGGGGCTTTTGGATGGGCAAGGGATCTCTTGGTTTTCGGATATTATTGTTGTTTCTCCTGATTTTTTTGAAAAAGTAATACTGACCTTGTGATAAATATAAAAAGATGAATGTATTACCAGCTATTAAATTTTCATGTATGAGTGTGAGTGTGATGGGGAGGCAGAACTCCAAAGGGGACTGCTGAAGATATAAGAGGGGTGATTCTCTACTCTTAAAGGGATGGTCACCTATGCTTTCCCCTCTTAATGTGATGAGGTGGTAAGAGTTGCAGATATCAGTTTAAACAGTGCCAGAGAGAAAAAGAGAGAGAGAGAGAGAATAGGGAAATAAACTACAAATGCTGGGAAATAATGATACCTTTATTGGGACAATTAAAAAGAACAAAATACATCATGCAAGCTTTCAAAGCTTCCCTGGCTTCTTCATCACGCAAATACATTAGGGAATGGCCAAGATGGCGGCCGGTCTGAGGCGCTGTGTTGAGAGTCAGGGGCGTCGCGGTGCTCGGCGGCGCTGCGGAGGGGCGAGCAGCGCTCAGAGCAGCTGGCTAGCCAGCCCGCCATGTCGGAGCCCGGGCACTTAGGGGTGAAGCGGGCCGAGTCGGCGCGCGTGAGGCGCGCGGAGCAGCTGAAGCGCTGGAAGGGCTCCCTGACGGAGCTGGAGCCGGTGACCCCCGCCCGGAGCTGGTACTGCGGCGGGGCCCGCGTCCACTTCGAGGACGGTGCCGTCTTCCTGGCCGCCTGCTCCAGCAGGGACACGGACGAGGTGAAGCGGCTCCTCGCCCGCGGGGCCCGCCTCAACATGGCCAACGTGGACGGGCTGACGGCACTGCACCAGAAAAAAGAAAAAAGGAAGACGAGGTGTAGTGCCAGGACAACGAGGCAGGCTCCCTCAACCCCAAGATTGCAATCATACCTGGTGAGTGTGTTGGCATCTTGCTAGCGACCCCGTTGCCGCCGAGACATTGCTGCAGAGCCCGGCTCTGGCCCTTGGGAAGACCCATCGGGGGGTTGAGAAGGAAGAAAGGCCCTCCGGCTTGCTAGACTCCACAGCCGCGTGCCCGTCCCTCCCGCCGGTCTGAGGGAGGGAGAGAAGAAAGGAAAGGCCCTCAGGCGCCTTTCGGGCCTGTCAGGCCTCACCGTCGCGCGCCCCTCCCTCCCGTTGACTCCAGGGAGTGAGAGAAGGAAGGAAAGGCCCTCCGTCGTCCTTCGGGCCTACTAAGCCCCATTGCCGCGCGCCCTCCCTCCCGCTGACTCCAAGGAGGAAGAGAAGGAAGAAAGGCCTCCGGCGCCCTTCGGGTCTGCTAGGGCCCGCCGCCGCGCGCCCCTCCCTCCCGCCATTCCGAGGGGAGGGAGAGAAGGAAGAAAGGCTCCCCGGCATTCCTTTGGGCCTGCTAGGCCCCGCCGCCGCGCGCCGCCGCGCGCCTCTCCCTCCCGCTAATCTGAGGGAGGGAGAGAAGGAAGAAAGGCTCCGGCGTTCCTTCGGGCCTACTAGGCCCCGCCGCCACGCTCCGCCGTGCGCCTCTCCCTCCCGCCAATCCGAGGGAGGGAGAGAAGGAAGAAAGGCTCCTTGGCGCTCCTTCGGGCCTGCTAGACCCCGCCATCGTGCACCCCTCCCTCCCGCCGGTCTGGGGGAGGGAGAGAAGGAAGAAGGCCCTCCAGCGCTCCTTGGGCCTGCTAGGCCCCACCGAGGCGCCCCACATCCTGACCAACTGTGCTGACCAACTGTGTAGACCGTCTTGTGTGTGCTGACCAACTGTGTAGACCGTCTTGTGTGTGCAGACCGACTCCTGGGTAGTTCGCCCATGCGGATCGACCTGTGTGTTGACCAGCTGCCTGTGTAGACTGACCAGTGTGTAGACTAACTGTGCGGCTAGGCGGTGTGTGGTCCATCTGTGCCGACCTACATTGCTGACCGACCTCCCGTGTTGACCATCTCCGGAAGACCCTAAGATCCATTCATTTGATTCACCTACCGTACATCAGCCGTCCATCGACTACATCTCTGAATCACTACAACATTACCAACTGTCATTGTTTACCAACTTCTCTAATGTTATGGTTATATACTGTCTAATGTAACACTTTATTGTTCCTTGCCTTATCTGCTGCTAATTGGTACAGTAACTTAGTATAGCACTTTACGGCGCCTGCCTCTTTTGCTGCTAAATTGAACTAGCACTTAATCCCCCATCCCTCCATGCCGCACTTTAGTTAGTACTTAGACCCAGACTTGGGTACCTTGTTGCACTTTAAGACCTCTGCACTTTATGAACTGCCTCTGTGGCATGCAGCTGTGACACCTACTGTGTTTGCACTTTAAGACTCTTGCACTTTATGAACTGTCCCAACTGTTCGCAGCTGTGACGCATACTGCACCTTGCTACTGTCAGTCTTATTGAAGTGTTCCATCATTACCCATGCGGTACCCTATCCCCCTAGTTGTATTGTCCTTGGTATTAGTGACTTGTGGAAGGGGCAAGGGACGAAGCGGGCTGGAGGCGGTGGGTAACAATAAGGGGGGGAGGGGGGAGAAAGGGAATGGAGAAAGTTGGCAAGAAAAAACTCCAACAAACCAAACAACCATTAATGGAACAGAAATTGAGACCATGGATTTGGACTGCGGCATGGAGGAGGGGAGGTGTTCCACTAGCCGAGGGGCCCCCATAGAAGTCGTGGTGGGGAAGGGGAGATGCGGGAAAAGGAGACCACAAATTCGGCCTAATTCGGATCGCATATCTACATTAATAATCCCAAACCGGTCTCCTATGGTAAATTGGTGTAACCAGGTTGGCGGTCCCTCCGGATTGAAGGTGGTGCTGTTGAACGCCAGATCTGTCAACGGAAAAACGACCTTTATCCAGGACTTAATCCTGGATGAGCGGGCAGATCTGGCGTGCATCACGGAGACCTGGTTGGATGAAGCTGGAGGCGTGAATCTACCCCAGCTTTGTCCGCCAGGTTTTCCGTGCAGCACCAACCGAGATCCGGAGGGCGGGGAGGCGGGGTCGCAGTGGTCTATAGAGATTCCATTCTTCTGACCAGGGCCCCCATCCCGCAGTCAACAAATTTTGAATGCGTCCACCTGAGGGTGGGTGACCGGGACAGATTAGGGATTCTGTTAGTGTACCGTCCACCTCGCTGCACTACAGTCTCCCTGACTGAGCTAGCGGGGGTGGTCTCGGACCTGGCATTGGAGTCCCAGCGGCTGCTTGTGCTGGGAGACTTCAATATCCACGCCGAGACGGCCCTCACAGGAGCGGCTCAGGACTTCATGTCTGCCATGGCAACCATGGGGCTGTCCCAACAAATATCTGGCCCCACCCACTGTGCTGGACATACATTGGACTTGGTTTTCTGCCAGGGATGGGAGCAAGGTGGCGGTATTGAGGAGTTCACCATCTCTCCGTTGCCATGGACCGACCATTTCCTGGTCAGATTTAGACTCACTGCGCCCCCCAACCTCTGCAGAGGTGGAGGACCCATTAAGTTGGTCCGCCCCAGGAGGCTTATGGATCCGGATGGATTCCTGATGGCTCTTGGGGAGTTTCCCGCCGCCTCGGTAGGTGATCCTGTCGAGGCCCTGGTCGCTCTCTGGAATGGGGAGATGAAGGGCAATTGACACGATCGCTCCGGAACGTCCCCTCTCAAGTAACCGAGCTAAACCAGCTCCTTGGTTCACTGAGGAGCTGGCAGCGATGAAGCGAAGGAAGAGGGAACTAGAGAGTGTGTGGGACCCAAGCGAGCCAAATCGAGCACGGTTTGTGTCCTTTTTAAGGGCATATGCCGCGGCAATAAAAGCCGCAAAGAAAACTTTCTTTGCGGCTACTATTGCGTCTGCAAGGAACCGTCCGGCGGAGTTGTTCCGGATTGTCAGAGGTCTTTTAATTCCCGCCACCTCAGGCGGGAGCCCTGACAATTCGGCCACGCGCTGTGAAGCATTTGCTCGGTTCTTTGCAGACAAAGTCGCTTTGATCCGTTCTGGTCTGGACACCATATTAAATGCAGTCTCCGAGGATGTGACGCGAGCACCTGCTTGTCCTATTTTGATGGATTCATTTCAATTGGTGAAGCCCGAGGATGTGGACAAGATACTTGGAGGAATGAGGCCTACTACGTCCATCCTAGACCCCTGCCCATCCTGGCTTCTGAAGGAGGCCAGAGGGGGATTGGCTGAGTGGGTAACGGTGGTGGTTAATGCCTCCCTTCGGGAAGGCAAGATTCCAGCGAGCTTAAAACAAGCTATTATAAAACCGCTGTTGAAAAAACCATCACTGGACCCCACTAAATTGACAACTTTCGGCCAGTTTCCAATCTCCCCTTTTTGGGCAAAGTCATGGAAAGCGTGGTGGCCTCACAACTCCAGGTATTCTTGAGAGACACGGATTATCTGGATCCGGCACAGTCTGGTTTCAGACCGGGACATGGAACCGAGACGGTCTTGGTCGCCTTAGTGGATGATCTGCGCCGGGAGCTAGACAGGGGGAGTGTGTCCCTGTTGGTGCTCCTGGACCTCTCAGCGGCCTTCGATACCGTCGACCACGGTATCCTTCTGGGGCGCCTTGCGGAAATGGGCCTCGGGGGCACTGTTTTGCAGTGGCTCCGGTCATTTCTGGAGGGCACCCAGAAGGTGTTATTGGGGGACACCTGTTCAACGCCACAGCCTTTGACTTGTGGGGTTCCACAGGGCTCTATACTGTCCCCCATGCTGTTTAATATCTACATGAAGCCGCTGGGTGAGATCATCCGGAGTTTCGGGGTGCGGTGTCATCTGTACGCAGATGATGTCCAACTCTGTCACTCCTTCCCACCTGCTACTAAGGAGGCTGTCGAGGTCCTGAACCGGTGCCTGGCCGCTGTAATGGTCTGGATGAGGGCGAACAAATTGAAATTGAATCCAGACAAGACAGAGGTACTCCTGGTCAGTCGCAAGGCCGAACAGGGTATAGGGTTACAGCCTGTGTTGGATGGGGTCGCACTCCCCTGAAGGCGCAGGTTCGCAGCTTGGGTGTGATCCTGGATTCATCGTTGAGCCTGGATCCCCAGGTCTCAGCGGTGACCAGGGAGCATTTGCACAGCTCAGGCTCGTGCGCCAGCTGCGCCCGTACCTTGGGAAGTCTGACTTGGCCACGGTAGTACACGCTCTGGTCACATCCCGCCTTGACTACTGCAACGCTCTCTACGTGGGGCTGCCCTTGAAGACGGCCCGGAAGCTCCAGCTAGTCCAGCGCGCGGCAGCCATGTTACTAACAGGAGCGGGACGCAGGGAGCATACAACGCCCTTGCTGTACCAGCTCCACTGGCTGCCGATTTGCTACCGGGCCCAATTCAAGGTGCTGGTGTTGGCCTACAAAGCCCTAAACGGTTCCGGCCCAAAATACCTGTCTGACCGCATCTCGGCCTATGAGCCCACGAGGACTTTGAGATCGTCCGGGGAGGCCCTTCTCTCGATCCCGCCTGCCTCACAGGCACGCCTGGCGGGGACTAGGGACAGGGCCTTCTCGGTGGTGGCCCCCCGGCTGTGGAACACCCTCCCTGTGGACATCAGACTGGCGCCCTCCCTCATGACATTCCGCAAGAGACTAAAGACGTGGTTGTTTGAGAAGGCGTTTGAGTAAGTGCTGCAACAATTGGCAATGACGATTGGAACGGAACATGGATAACGAGATTTGGATTGTGATTCAATGATGAGACGTTGCGAATGATTTAGTATAACTGTATTATTGATAGTGTCGTTGTTTACTGTTGATGTGATATTGTTTATGTTGTAAATTGTACCTGGTTTTATATGTTGTACACCGCCGTGAGTCGCCCTAGGGCTGAGAACGGCGGTCTACAAGTGCAGTAAATAAATAAGAATAAATAAATTAGGAAATACTCAGGAGAATAAAAGTGATGGTGTTAGAGTCACAAACCCCACAAATAGTGTGATAAGTGGATCAC